CCGGCCGGTCTGGGAGCCGCGCGGGCTGAGCGGCGGTGGTGCGTGTGCTGCTCCCGCGCCTGCTGTGCTCTTGCTGCTCTTCTGCAGCGGCACGTGGCTTGTGGCGCAGCTTGGGGTGTGCAATGAAGCGCCAGCACCTTCGTGGTACTGGTTGTGCGCAACTGCTGTTCTGTGAACCTGCCCGTCATTGAAGCTCTTGTTTCTGGCTCCAAACAACGGGTGGAATTTTATTTCTTTTTAATACTGTTTCAGCCCAATGCTTCCCTCTTTGAAGCCTGCTGCAATGAGCGGATCCAACAATTTGATGATAACGAGGAGGAAGAAGATATTTGGGAAGAGAAGGAGATAACCTATGCAACCCAAGTTAAATCAAGAACACGGTAAGGTGAAAAGATCGATTCCTTCCCACACCCCCTTTATGCTCTGAAACTGTACGTTTTGGTTAAGTCCATGCTGAATTGTTTGATATTTACATGCTTTTTCTGACATCAGCCAGAGTACTTCCCGTGTCACACTGCCACAGGAAGAGGTTTGTCTTGAATGTGAAACGAAGATCCAGTTTGAGGGGACACAGTAATGGTGGAAACCCCTAATTACTGAGTCTGCTACCGAAGATATTAAAAAAACCACACACGCACCCCCTTAGTCTGAAATACTTCGAACATACTCCTTTCCTCATGTTTGGAGCGGAGGAGGTTGAAAGGGGGGTTAAGACCGAGGGCAGTAGACAGAATAGGCTTTTTCAGCAACGTTTTGTGAGAGCGAGTGGCCTCCCGTGGTGCGTCTCTGGCATTGCACGTCACCTACAGATGCCATCCCTTTGATAGAGTCCGTTGTTGAATACAGCTACTTCTGTAGTTCTACGTCTGAAAATCTGATCGAATGAGACAGGAAAAATGGCCGAGGCTTCGCGTTTATTTGCCCACATCAAGAAACTGATTGTCCTGCCCAGACGCAGAACTGGTACCGCAGTGGTGTGTCCCTCCTGTGCCACTGGTTTGTCTGCCCCTGTCAGTCTCCGGCCCTGAATATGTCACTCCAACATACTTCCCATTGCAGCTCTGCAGATGTGTTTTGGCAGGTGAAGCACGCAGGGACTTGAGCGGCGATACGTAGGGGAGTGCCGGCGGTTGCCTGCCCCAGCTTTGTGGCTCTGGGGGAGATCAGCCCCGTAAAAGGCGTTGGGCGTCGCTTGGGCAGGGCACGGTTTGTGCTCCCTCCCCGGGGCAGGGAGGAGCTGCCTGCCCTGAGGGGTTTTCTGATTCTGGCTTCCGTGATTTAGATTTGGAGCATCTCAGACCTCAGAGAGTTCGTCAAAAAGTGATCTTGAAAACGGAGATCATGATGGCAGCGTGGACTCCGAAGAGGAGGAGGAAGCAGAACAGCAGCCGCCTCCTTCCTCGGCGAACAGCAAGAATAATATTTCCGAGCAGAAGGAGTCTGACTCCTCTGAAGGTAAGGGGTTTAAACCAGCGGCATCCCATCTGAACCCGCCTCAGCAGGGGGTTGGACTGGGTGATCTCCAGAGGTCCCTTCCAGCCCCCGCCGCTGTGGGATGTGAAGGGCGATCGGCGGTCACCGCTGCCGAGCAGCAGCCGGCAGGTTGCCGGGTTTCTGTGGCTGTCGGGGCTCCGGCCCGCGCAGAGAGAAGGGCGAGTGTCAGCCTTGGCGTCTGCCCCTGCGGTGTGGGTGAGGCCGAGCCCTGCCTCTCCGTCGGGAGAGCGGGGTGGTGCTGCGGCCGGGCCGAGAGCCGCCGCACGGGCGCGAGTGCGGTAACACGCTGGCTCCTTCAGGACAAGCAGCGATGGACGAACTCTGAGGGGAGGGTGGTGACGTTCGCTCCCTACGCCCGAGAGTTCTGTGCAGGCCCTTGGCCCGGATCCCCGCACTCCGTGCATCCGCCTTTTCGGCCGAACTGCCTCTCTGGTTTCGGTTTGCGTTTGCAGCCCTGCTCGTACAGTGCCTGGAGGAAGGCTGTAGGGTCACAATGCAAATAATGCTGTGTGAGTTCACGAGGCACCGAGCTTTGTCGGCAGGACAAATTCATTCAACCGAAATAAAGAGACAGAGCTGTTTTCCCAAACATTAGTGTCTTATTTGGTGGAAGCATTTTCAGTTTCAAATTTGTGATTTTTAGGGAGAGAGGTATGTTCTGGTGAATAAGGAGTACACTGGGGCCGTAAAGAACAAATTATATTCTTAGTTTTGCTCAAGGTCACTTCTGTGATCTTAAACATTTTAATCCCTGTGTCAGTTCCTTACCTGTAGTTGCCCAAATTAAACCATTAGCGACTGAAGTGGTCGAAAGCCGTGGCACTTGGCTTTGACAGGAAACCACGGGGCTTAGAGTTCAGCTGTTAATCGCTGGCTCGAGGAATGCAGACATTCACCATGTCGTTTGTCTTAATTAATGCTTCTCTGCATGGGGATAATATTAATATTTATCAGGAGAGGGATTTTCGAGCTGATCGTCTGTAACCTGTGGGACAGGCAGCTTCCCACGGGTTTCAAAGCAGTGCCGTTGGACCATCTTTCTTTTCTGGTCTCTGGGATCACTTTGGAGTTGGGATCCCAGTTTTGGGATGGCCAAAGCCTCAAAGGACTCACAGGAATTCCAGTCGGTGGTTCTGTGTCCCCAGGGTCTGGCTGGACAGCGGTGTTCGAGCCCGTCAACTCGAAGCCCCCCACACCCTGCGTTGCCATGGATGTTGGATCGAGTGTGTGGGATTCAGCAGCCCCCGAGAACCCCACGCCCGAGGAGAAAGGGTGGGCAAAGTTTACAGACTTCCAGCCTTTCTGTTGGTAAGACAGGCACGCGTTCTTTCCCTTTCTTCATGGCTTTCGAGTGAAAGAATGTTTGAGATCTGGTTTGATGGAGCACCTTGGCCGTGACATTTTCTTCTTCCCTTTCCCTTCCCCTTGCTGCCCCTTGGCAGTTTTTCATGTTGTCTGAGTGTCTGGGTCAGGGCTTCGGGCTTCCCTTTGCCTTCCAGCGCGTCTGACTGGTGTTAGCACTTACCTCTTGCGATGCAGGGATACTTCCTGCATCGTCACCGCTGCTACGCTGGGAGTATGAAATGAGTAGATGAATACGATTTTTAGAAGTTACAAGTATTTACGTAAAGAAAGAGTGAGCCCTAGTGCTGCCTTCTGTTGGGGGTGTTTAGCAGCACAACCAAGCCACCTGTACTTCATTCTCAAGGCTTTTCCCCCTCTACTTCAGCTCAGAATCAGGCCCACGGTGCAGTTCTCCTGTCGACACGGAAAGCAATGATTCCGATGGAAACCCGAAGCAGAGTCAGGACAAGAACTGTAAGTGGGACTGGTACCAGACAAAACAGATGTGGTGTTTCAGCTGTTTGACGTGCTGCGTAGCGTGCCGAGTGCGCTGGGGGGGCTTCCCTCCGGTGTCGCCTGCCTTGTCCTCCTTGGAGGCTGTCTGTGTTAAACACGGGCAGGGGGTGGCAGGTGGAGACGCTGGTTTGTGGGGCTGGGGGTTTTTTTTCCTTACTTGCCAAAATAACACTGCATGCGGCGGGATCTGCGCAGAAAGCGTCATCTCGAGATTTGCCGTGGCTGTAAACGCTCCGTTTTACACCACCCTGCTGGCCCGGCCTGCCCTGGGGAGTTGCTCCTGTGGGTTTGTTCACTTTGCAATGGGGATTGCTTCCTTTTCTCAGTCAGCACTGCCTCCCCCTGCGTTTGGAACGTCTGCGTCACGAGGAAAGCGCCGCTGGTGGCCTCGGACAGCAGCTCCTCCGGAGGCTCCGACAGCGACGAGGAGGAGGATAAAGCTGATATCGTCACGGAAACCATCAGCACAGGCTCGGGCCAGGAGACCATCAAGCTGACTATGGATGCTAAAAACGAGAAGGCTGTTTTCACCAGGTGCGAAAGGAATCTCCTTGGGCTGGGGCCCCGCTCGGCCCCCGTGCCAGCCCTCGTGTCGCTAGCGGTTCGCGTGTCACCCTTCCCTTTGGCCGCCGTGGCTCACACACGTGGTCCTGTGTGAGCGTGCCTTGCAGCTTTCTCCTCACGGGGTTTTGTTGTAAGAAAATATTTACAGCAGGTTTATTTTAAGAAATGTGTGTGGCTCGTTTTAGCCACGGAGCCACGTCCCAGAGGCATCGCCCGTCTGGCTGCCCCAGAGAGCCGGGCGCTGGCTCGGGGCAGGGCTGCCAGCTCGGACGGCACAGGGGAGTCCAGCAAAGCCTCACGTGGTGGCAAGTGCAAGGTCTGACCTGGACTCGGCCTGAGGTCTTGCGGGGGGAAGATTTAAATGACTCAAGCTGTCGTTTTCCCCTCGCTGTCAAAGTAGTACATTACGGACCATAAATGATAACGGTGCGAAATGCCAGGAAAGGAGCAGATCCCGAGATCCTGGGCAGCCACTTGGTTGGAATTGCCCGTGCTCGAATCTGGCCTACTTCAGTCAGTTGAGGGGGAAGTTGCTTTTCGACACAGTAAGCTTCTGGTTCACTTTGGTGCATCCAGAAATACAACCCCGTTTTAAGAGACTTGGCTTTTTCCCTCCTGTTCCTTACAAGCGTGTAGGGTGTGATTTAACTAGCTGGAGCTGCTGTGGTTTGTGCATCTGGCTCAGGAACAGGTATGTACATTTTATAATGTTGTGGTTCTGTGACTTTTTTGGATAATCCACGTGAGCTGCTCGGCGTGTGCGCACAACTCCAGCACATAGTTACTGGGGGTTGCAAAGCGGTGGCTCGGAGAACAAGGGGGTTACGGAACTATGGGGAGCTGTGGGAGGCAGTTAAGGACAGGCACGCTTGGCTGGGCAACGCTGAAGTGAGTTTTTGGTAACGTGACTGGGGTTTGGTTTTGGTGCCCGCCTCAGATGGCCTTTCCTCTTCGGACCTGCCAGCAGTGAGGGGCCTGCGGTTTCTTTGCTGGCAGTGGTTCCACCCGGAGAGCCGTTTTGCCCAACGGAGCTAGTTTGTGTGCGCAGGGCTGGCGTGGCCGGGCAGGCTGGCTCCATGAAAATGGACCATGAGGAAAGCAAGAACACTGCCTGCTGCGCTGGAGCAGCGTCTCCTTTTCCAGTTTTCAGGGAGCTTGAACTACAGCTCATTAGATCCGTTGGCAAGCGTGTTTAACACAGCTCCTGTGCTCCAGCTGTGTTTCCTCTCTGGATGCACGGTGTGAGCAGGGTAGTCTTACTCACGTCACTGTCTGGATCCTCAGCAGCAGTGCCACTCTTCCTTGGCAGGTTCTTCCATCTTCCGTTTATTTCCTAGCAGGTAGGACGTGCTTTTTTCTGGTTTGGCTGGCGAGAGGCGGTGGGCTGCGCTGCTGTTGCAGGCAGTGCAGTTCTGACGGTGTTTTTCTCTCTAAATAAGTGTGTGTATCTCGAGCACTTTCAAGACGGACGAGGCTTCCAGACCCTGCTTGGTTTTGCCTGACTGCAGTTCTGCAGAACTAACTGCGTTTTGGCAGAGGAAGTAAATACTCGAATAACCCCAGTCTCCACTTTAAAGGTGTCTGTAGCTTTCCACAACCATAACTGTAGCCAGAAATCAAAATAGAAGTGGTGGGAAGACAGAAACCTGGTATAGATGGTGGTTTCAGCTGCTCCAGGTCTGTTCAGTAGGCAGGTTTCTCCCAGTGTGTGAACTGCCATCTTGACCAGTGACAGTGATGGAAACTGCCTGGTATGCTCAGCTCTCCCAGACCAGCCTGCCTCCTGTCGGAGCAGACGCAGTTAAACAGCCGGTAGTGAATATGTTCGTTTCTTACCATGTTCCTTAACAATTCCAAGGAGATGAAATATGGTGAAAGCTTCAGAGTATTTTGGATTGACTGTGTGGTTCTTGACGACTTTCTACAAGCACTTCCCCAGCAGTGCTGAGCCTTTACCGAACCACAGTCCTATTTCTGTAGAAACGGGTCTTCCTTCTCCTTTTTTCCCCTCCCTGCGACACTGAAATCTACAGTGGAGATCTTTAATGCTCCTCGGAGCTACACAAGGACTCTCTGGATTCTACGATCACTGGGGTCGTGAAAGCTCCAGATGTTACAGCACATCTAAATACCCTCCATGACCACCTTCTCAGCTGCTCAAGCTTCCCTGCCTGCTCGTGCCGCCCCAGAATTTAAACTCTGGAAAGTTAATGATTTGTCCTTGCGTGGCTTAGTAGAAGGTCCCTCGTGGCAGTTCTGCTTAAACTGCGGCTAAGAATATTGGCCACCACGCAAAAGAAGGCGTTTCAGATGTATTTAGCTGATTTCTCTACTTCAGATATATTTAGCTACCTTCCTTTCCCATATCTAATTGTATATGGTAGTTTCTTGTGAAAAAAACAGTAGTTTTGCAGAAGTTCTCTGACTGAAGAGCTTCCAGTATTGCCAAATCTCACTCTGGGGTAACTTCAGGATGTGTGTTAGGCTTGAGAAAGATGCTTTTTACAGTGTATCGAATCTTCTGCTTCTTTTGTACGTTGACATGAATTTTATGTGGAAAATGCCGTGTTTGGTGACTGTACTCTTTGAAGTAGCTTTTAGATGTTCCTGCATGTTCTCCTGGCAGGAACGCTGCTCGAGGGTACCGTTGCAAAGTTAACTCTTTTGTCTGTTTTTTCAGCATCTTTACTGTTTTCTTTTTCTTCCTTTGCTTTCTTTCTCTTTCTGCCTCTCGCTGCCTTTCTGTCTTGCTGTGGGTATTGCTCAGAGTGTTTAGACCTGCAGTCAGAGGGTATGTATGACGGTCACCTTCTCAGGGTTCCAAACATCCACCTGACAAGTAGTTTCTCCCGATAGTTACTTCATGCTGGGCTGGAAAAAGGAGCTGTTGGACTGGGAAAGCTCGTCTTCTCGGTTCAAACAGATCCTAGAAACTGTATTTCGGAAACCTGAACTGGAGGTTGCGCGTAGTCCTGTGTGAAAGGACGCGCCCAGTCACAAATACGGCACTAGGGGTTTCCTGCATCGGGTCCTTGAGCTTCTGCCACGCCGCTGTTTGTGAGCTCTTTCTGCAAACGGCCTTTTGGGAGGGAGGTTCCAGCTGGGGCAGGGCGCCCGTGGCCTTGCGGGCCCCAGTTCGCTGCCGCCCCGCTGCTGGGGTTGCTGCTGGTGCGAGGGGGGTGCCCGAGGCTCTTGAGGCTTTCTCGCCACAGCACTAACGAACATTTTACTTGGGTGCTGCCATATGCCATAAAATAACGATGGATCTCTTTTCCAAAGGATTTTTTTTTTATTTTATTTTTTTTTACAAAATACTTATTTTTTTCCCTGTTTTCTTTCTGTTTTAAATTGTGGGGTTTTTCTAATTATTTCCTAGAATGCATCCATTGAAATGCGTTTTCCCAGTCACTGTGCGAGCTAGCAAGGCCTTGCAGTGATTTCTGGCTGAGATCAGAGACAAAAAGAGAAATGCACGGTGATAAGCGTGTCCCCATACTGTTTCATGTGACGAGGGGTGTGTTACAGCAGTCGTTCAGACTCCCGGGTCTGGGAGGGGCGGTCGGAGCTGAGCAGCGGTACCCTCCTGCCTCCCGAGCAGGGGTTTGGGAAACGCAGCTCAGCGCGCGCCCACGGTCCCCGCAGACGGAGGGATTTCAGAGCTGTAAGCGCTGTGGTGGGATAAAGCAGCTGTAAGAACGATGTGTACTTACTTAACTTACTAATTTAATAATTGGCAAGGCCATTTTCACAAGCTTTTGCCTCTTTTGTGAGCCCACGAGTGCGTATTGCATTTCTCTCGCAGTACGTGCTACCAGGCTGCGCTGCGTGCCAGAAGAATGCAGGAATACCCCGGCTGTTCGTGAGCGATCCGAGAGATCCCTGCCAGAACCGGGCTGGCTGAGGGTTCTGGGAGCTGTTGAGAGCGAGCGCAGGCTGTGCCGGTCTCGGGCACTTGTGCCAGGCTTTGCTGCAGTTGGAGCAGCAGCCTATGGACGAGGCCGGGAAGCGCGAGGGCTCCGCAGCGGTGTCAGCCTGGGCGGGCCCCTCTGCTCCCTGGCGTCAGCAGTCCCGAGACCTGCATTTCGTGGGGAGAGCAGAATAGTGACAGCAAAGTACGTGCGACGCGAGCAGTACCTTTTGGGGGCAGGACTTGCACTTCCGTGTCTGTGTGCTTGAGTTTTCATTGTAGGATTTTGACCCAACGCTTGACAATCGTAAAGATGAAATGCAAAAGCGTACCTGAAGTGTTTCGCTGCTGAGGTGTTGAGTAGGGTTTCTAAGCAGCTCCTTAAAAGATGAGCTGCACTTCAAAAAAAAAAGTAAAAAAAAAATAAAAAATCCAGCTTTTGCTGTGAATGGTGATAGCGGGCTTGGGATGTTTGTAACTTTTCATTTCTCTTTCAGTTCATTAACTTCACCTGAAATGCTTTTTTCCCCTTCCATCTTTTTTTCTTTTCTTTTTTTGTTTTCCATGGTTGAATATGTTTATACTGTCCCCTTCTCCCTAGTGTCTCCTCACCCGCCTAGCTCGGATAAGCAGCTGCAACAGCAGGCTTAGAGGGGAGGCTGGAATCCATCTGCAAACAGTGGTTGCTGACCGTTAAAACCAAGTACATTTCTTCTGTGTCTGTGTGATAGCAACCCTCAGTACACTCGTCAGCTTTGGAGGCCAACACTGTCAGGGCTGCAGCGATTTCCTCAGAACAGAGGTGAAATGAGACAGCACTGACAGTTCCTGCTTCTTGCAGGAATTTCTGCCATCTCTCCATTACAGTTTCTGTAAAATCACCCTAAAGGTCTCCTCTTGTTTCTGATCATACACGGTCCTGGGATGAAGGCACTTCCCTTCCCTTCTGACAGCAGCGACCACCCTGAGTTGCTGAAATAGCTCAGAAATAGCGGCTGGCAGCGGTTCCTCCCGTTGCCGTGGGCGCGGGGGCCGAGCCAGGCGCCTGCGCAGGGCTGAGCAAGGCGATGCGGTGCAGCGCCCGCTTACGGGCACCAGAGAAAATAATTCTCCAGTTTCCCAGGCTGAGTGGAGTGACGTTGTCACCGTGGATGTTTTGAGCTCTCCCCTTCTGGAATACGTTTTTCTTTGTGCCTGCCGACTGTCGCTCTTGCATGGCGTTGGGCTTCACCCTTGCACGTGACGAGCATGAAACGCCGGCACCAGAAGTGGTTGTGTCGCCTTTGGCTGCCTGGCCGCAATGAGCGGCCCGAGGGCTTGGGTGGGACGGGGAGGGGAAGCCAGCATGCTGTGGGAAGCGGTGCGTGGAGCATGGCGCCACCGGTCTGGGAGAAGCTGGCTGCGTGCCGCCGGACGCTTGTTCAGAAAGAAACGTAAAAGTCACTAATCTGAGGTCCCGTTTCACCAGGAGACTTTCCCAATCAAAGCTGAACGCTCGGTGCGGTAATGGACATAGATGGGACCTTCTAAGCTGACATAAGTGTTGGCCTTTTTAACGAAGATTGCATGTAAATTTGGGAGAACCTCCCATGTTGTGTGACTTTGTCTGGTTAACAGCCAACAAACAATTTCCTGGTGTGGCGAGAAGAACGTGTGTGGCATGGCTGCCCTTGCATCTCTTGCTTTGTCTCGTGCCTGCTGGTTGCAGAGCCTGGTTTTTAAGGACTTGCTTGTGGGCTCGGCATGAGACTGTGTTTCGGTGCGCTCGTTACGCAGGTCTTCGTTGTTTATAGCACCGGTGTCCTTCCTAGTGTGTCTTCATGGTGTTTTGTGGTCTGTGACACTGCTTGGTTACCAAAGAGACTAGAGGATACCTAAAGTGTCTCCCAGGAGCCGCAGTAGTGAGCTTCAGAGGTGGGTAGGACTGAACTCGCAGGCTGTTCCGTTTCAGTATCAAATCCTTCTTTCCCGAAACACCTACAGCTCTTTGGTCGCTTGGGACCGCAGCGTGAGTTCTTTACAGACCCCTCGGCAGGGAGCTGGAGATCAGGGTTGCACGTCGCGTCGCCCAGAGCTGCGTTAGGTGCTGCGGCGTGCGGATTTCCGTCTGGCGCTACCAGTCAGGGCCAGCTTGGCTTCGCCGAACCACCAGCAAAGCTGTTACAGCTCGGTTTGTCTTGCTGGTCCGAGAGGCTCTCGGTGAACGGGCTGGTGGAGAGAGAGGGTGGGAGCACGATGTGTTTCGCAGTTGTGCTGTCGAAATGGGTGTTAGAAAGAAGTTTGTGTAGTGAAACCGGGCAAGAGAGGGGTTCAGAAAAATGGCTGCGCTCAAGTATTTTCTCTGTGGAGCTGGTGGAAATCTGCAGGAAGAACTGAATTGTTACCAGAAGTTACGTGAGCTCCTGACGAGTTCATCTTCATAAACATCTTCTTTATTTTAGCTGGGGGTCGGTTCTGATCCAGAGTGGGTTTATGGCAGCTTCAGTGATTATGAAGTGCAAACTTTGTTGAATCCTGTTTTTCGAAGAAGAAATGGCGCTTCAGGGAAGACCGCTGTGGTGTTAGCTCGGGGAAGCTTTGTGTGGCAGGGTTTGGGCATTAGAGCAGAAAAGAAGGAACCACCACTTCGTAGCACCTAAGGTTTGCAATGAGGATACATCGTCTTTCTTGTTTTCCTGTGTTCTGTCACAAGTAGGAAAAGCTGAGAACTTGGTGCTGTCTTCATGGCAGATTTTCCTCTCGGAAGTGTACGGAGTTGAGAGCCACTAGTTGAGAGAGCTGCAGGTTTTCAGTAGCGTGTGAAAAGCAAATCCCTGCGAAGCATTCACACGAGCGCGGGAGGAGCAAGTCCTGCACCCGGCACGGGCTCGTCCCTGTTGGGCTTCCAGCAGAAGGGGAGGCCTTCCCTAGAGGAGCTGGAAGCCAGAGTTCATTCTCTGAAGTGCCTTGTCTGAAGGGTCCCTGGAAGCCTTGTTGGAAGCAGCTGCAGTGCTGGCATGGCCGTGCGGGGCTCCTGCTCTTCTGGCTGTTGGGGTACCCAGAACACCTCTTCGTTTCCCCGCGGCGAGGCAGGACGCGTGTGTGTATTCTGCACAGACACCAGCAGCTTTGACCAGAAGTGTTTCAGTGACCTTCCTTGTCTGATCCTTGCACACATCAGCGAACACAAACCAGCAGCTTTTGAAGTAGTAGTATTTTCAATACTTCTTCGCTTAAAATTACTATTGTGATTTATCACGTAGTTGTTCTAAAGGAGGTGGGAGTGCTTGGCGGTACGCGTCACCCGGAGGAGAGGTGGTTGTGCCTGCCTCGAGGAACTTGCTGCCTTAAAAGACAACCCATAGTTGATGCTTAAGGTGCGAAATACATGAGGAAGAGTAAACAAGAGCGGCTGACTTGTTTCCCTTTGACCCTCTTTACGATCCCCTGCCATGCTTCAGGGCGGCCTGTGGAACGTGTCGTTGGAGGGCGTTCCTCCGTTCGTCACCCTTGGGTGACTGTGGGCGAAGCTCAGCAAGTCCCACGCTCTGAGGCTGGCTCCGGCAGGAGGTATTCCTTGCTGGTGTCTGCAGTACGACACAGGTCTTGACCCCTCGGAGAGGTTCCCAGCTGAGGAATCACTTGCTTTCTTCACAAGACATTGGGCAATAGTCCACTGCTGCCACTTCTTTAGACCCCAAGGTCGTCTTAAAGCTCTCTTGCAGAAGCCTTGTGGCGTGAAGGTCAAGTAGAGGTTGTCCTGTGCAGGATGCTTTGAGCTCGGCTGTCTTACACCTGCGGTGAAGCAAACGTGATCGGCTCTGCTAAGCCCGATGCTCACCAGGCGTCCAGGTGAGGAAGCGCCACCAGACTCTGTGCCAGGGCTGTCCCGGAGCAACCAGCTGGTGGTTGGGAGGAGACATCTCCAACTTCATGCAAACTACGTTCGAACCTTCTAGAGGTGGAGATGGCTGGGCCTAATCATGCTGGTCACGTCTTCCAGTCTTGTTTTCTGGTGAGACTGATGAGTTTGGACGTTCAGCTTGTGCCCTGGGGGCGGTTAGGTCTCCCACAAGGCATTGCAGTGCTTGTGGAAAGAGAGGCCTCTCTGTCACGAGTGACCTCCAGGGTGGTATTTACAAACTTGGTGGTTAAGTCGCAGATTTTGGCTACGATGTTGAACTTGGTGAACATAAAGGGGGATTGTCGTGGCTGTCGCGTGGGAAAGCCCAGCGGGCAGGGCTGTGGGTGGCATTCACAAGTCGGTGGTGCCGCGTGCTAGCCCGTTGTGCAAGAAGACAGCGTTCTGCACGGGCTTAGGCTTTCTGTTGGGAAATTTGTACAAGTGGCTTTGAATTTGAGCTTAAAAATTCCTAATTCTTTCTGGCGTGGGGAGCAGCAGAGATCTGTTTGCAGGGCTTAACTGAGAAGAGTCTGGAGTAGCTACGGAGGCTGTTGCTGATAGCTCTTCCTCCTCAGCCCGCCTTAACCAGCCTCGGGGGAGAACAGCTCTATTCCTCGCAGGTGACGCGCTCCCTGGCCCTGCCTGCGGCCTGGCCGGCGTTTGGAGCGTGTGACCAGGCTGTGTGGGGACACGGAGGCGGGCTGTTGGGTGCACTGGCAGCAGGGTCCTCCCAGGCTGCGCTGAAGGGACCCAGCTAGCTGCTGGAGATAGGCTGGCCGGAGGAATACCGACGCAAAATATTTACAGGTGCTGGAGTTTACTCTAGGCTGGAGTGAGATACTGGTGTGAACCCTCCTGCCTGGGTCACGGCGTCCCGTATTCCACACAAACGCCTTGTCTTGGTTCACCCCGTTGGTTTGGGCTGTGAGTGTCCTGCTGCGGAGGGTTGCGTGTCCAGCTCTGCTTTTCTGTGAGCCTGGTGGAGAGGGATGAGTTTCCGTGCCCCCTTGGTGGTCAGGTAACCGCAGGACTTGGTAACATCGGAATCCTCGTGTCACGGAAATTTTAGTGATTGAATTGACGAAGTTTATCTTTGAGCAGTTTCTGTCTCATGAGCTGCGGTTCCTTGTGTGGGAAGTCATTTTCTAATGACATTTCTGGCTGCTTAGTTCGATTCTCTGCTGTCTCATCTGTCCCCTGCGGTTTCTCTAAGGTGTATTTTTGGACTCGCGGTATTTCTTGTTAAGAGCACGCTAGCCCTTTAGGGAGATAAATGTTTTGATCTCATTGTTCCTCATTTTAATGTATTTTTTTTCAAGAGCACACAGAAATAGAACCTTGATCTCAGAATCCGTCACGTGTCTTAATTACCCGACTGTGATTATACGTGAGCATCATGAACTCCCCCAGCAGCTGGTGGCAGGATTCCAGCTCAGTCATCTGCTGAGCTCTCCTTCCATTTCTGTAGGCTTGCTCTCTGAAAGAAGGAGAAGAAATCATGCTTGAAACTGGGTCTGGGCTAAAACCAGGAGGAGGATCGTTCACACGCAGGCTTGTCCTCTGCCTTACAAGGCAAAAACTAGAGATATTCACAGCGATCGCTTCTCCAGTTAGAAATGTGGGTTGTCTTAGTACAAACGTAGAAGATGTGCAGGTTTTGTGCTAGCAGTTCTTTTCCTTTCTCAGGATTTGAGCTTCTGTTTTGTTGTAGGGCAACATCACTGGAAATGTTGTCCCTCAGGCGCTGGGATTCTGTCGTCCGATGTGTTACTGAAAGCGAGTTAGTTAACCCTGTTCGGCTTCTGAAGATACCACTCGTGAACGTCCAACTTTTTTTTCTTCCTCAAGATTTTAGGTTCTGTACTTAAATTTAAGTCTTTCCAAGGTGCACACAGAAGTATCAGATGCCACTTGGGAAAAATCTGTAGAGTAGAGAGCGTGGGTGCCTGTGGTAGATCAGAAACGGGCTTTGCCAAAACGGGCAGCTTGGGGAGCGGTGGGTTTGGAAATCTGCTTGACGGTGTGCGGCAACAGAGGGCAATTCCAGGAGAGGTGAGCTCCTCTGGGCTGCCTTTCCCACCAAAGGCTGGACCCGCGGATCCTCTGAGGTCCCTTCGAGCCCGGGCTGGTCCGTGGTCCCGTGCGCTGGTTCTGACAGCCTCCGGTCACCGCCGGGGCAAGCAGCCCGCTCTGGCGTGCTTGCTGCCAGCGGGAAGCTCGACCTGGCCCCTCCGTGCTGGCAAAGCCTTGCCCGAGTGAGCTTCACGCTCATCCTTCCCCGGCTCGGTTCCTGCCTGCGTCCGTGGGAGAGCAGCAGGGGCAGTCGCGGAGGGTGCTGAAGTGGTTTGCAGGCGGCGGGGGTACGCGGGGGGCGCTTAGGCCGGGCTTTGCCGCAGGAGGTGGGGATGCCTTCCCCCAGGGGCTGCCGTGCTCGTGCCTCTTGGGTGTCTCGGTGACTTCTAGGAGACGTAGCCTCCAGGATGCGCACGCTGCTTTTTAATTCCAGTTTATTTTCAGTTCTTATTTCTTTATGGGATTTTGTAGCCTGTGCTGGGAGAGGAGGGGGGATATTTTTTTTTTCTCCGTTGGAATTTAAGCCCCATTAATTGACATTTTGACGTGAACTTGAATTCTCCCCACACAGTGATGCGGACTGCATGGTCATTGATAAGCTGGCCATCACTGACATCGGAACAACAAAAGCATCCAGACCCCTGAACAACGTGGCCCAGCGCTCGGAGGAGCACCAGAACACCGCCGCCGTTGTCACAGCTGTCACGGAAACGGCCACAAAAGACAGGTGAGAAGGTCAAACCGCGCCTTGGCCAGCTCGTGACTGAGAATCGGTTTTTACCACGTCCCTGACTGTGGTTATTCAACCATTAGTGTGCAGCCAAAGTGACACGAGGGGCACGACTGGAGCCTCTCGGGGGGCGTTACGCTGCAGGCAGGGTAGGGCTATCGCTGCGATTCACTGCACATATCTTGCCGTTTCCCAGAAGTGCTGTCGCTGTCAAATCATCCGTTTTGTTAAAATAACGGACTTCTCATTTTGTACTCGTGCACAACAAGCACTCAAATAATATGGAAGGGGTGTTCAGGTGAGCGTAGAGACATTTACACTTAAAATAGGAGGAAATGGGGAAATGTGTTTTGGTAACTGAAACTGGAAGTAATCTCCAGGACAAATGATATTAATAATGTTGGACGTGACAGTTTAGGTATTTTTAAATACGGAAACCAGTCCTTCTGCGTGTTTAGCGCTGTCACCCCACAGCTTTGCTCCGACTCCTGGTTCGTGGCCAGAGATGTGTGTCAGTGAGGTGCCTCTGCTCCTCCCGAGCTGAGACGGCCTCTCTTGGCTGTCTCGGGCCTCCTGGGGCAAGCTTGCTGTTAGACTGAATCTCGGACCATGGTGCTTGGCGGCACCCAGACACCTGGGCCGTCCGGGGGAATCTCTTCTGTTTGGTGCTTCGGGTGAGAGGAAGAAGTTCCCACCAGCACCTTGAGCTTCCTGCAGCCAACCCCCTCCCACAAGTCCCAGCGCTGGTGTGACTTGTACTGGGGAGGCAGCCGAGCGTCCCACCGGGTCATCATTCTCAGCACCGCGCCCCAGGTGCTGCCAGGGAGCTGAGCCGGGACCCGGGGGTGGCAGCGAAGTGGGGGGCAAAGCCCCTGCAGACAAGGTGGGGGACCCCATCCAGCGATGGCCATTCACGTCCTCGTCCTGGGACGAGGCAGGTCCCGGGACAAGCCACAGGCTGAAGTCAGCAGGTCCGTGGCAGGAAGGGGTGAAGCCGTGCGGCACAGCGCTGGCAAAGGCCTGAATCCGGCTCTGAGGGGATGGTGGAGGGTGCCTGGGGGGAGACCGTGGACAGGGCTGGTCAGGCTGGAGCCTTCAGGTGACTCAGGGCCCCGACAGTCAGGTTCCATGCGTCTGGTTCAATAAATCCATAAATTAATGTCGTGCAGCCGGCGGTCAAAGCTGACGGCAGTTTCTGCTCTGATTTTTAGGCGTAGCGTTTTGTAACGGGCTCGGAGGAGGTTCTCATTAGGAAGCGAATAATGCTTTAGCAGGGAGAAGGAACAAAACGAGGGGAGGGGTGGCTGAGCTGGTACCGAAGAGGAGAGTTCCCAGCCAGGGAGGAAGCCAGCTTTGGGAGCGAGGGCGTTCCCGTAGTCGCGTTTCTCTAACGCTACTCTTTGGGTTTCTCTTTAGGAAAGAAGAAGTCTTGCCCTGTGCTGAAGCCACGTTAAATGGCCCTGCTTGATGAAACAGATGCAATGGGACGTGTGTGATCCAGGCCAGGCTGCTACCTGGTGATGCAATTTGTCAATTTATTATTTTTTTTTTTTCATTTTAATTTTATTTTTTAATAAATGCTGCATTGATGAGAGAGCTGGCATTCAGGACCAGACACGCAGTTTGAACACCAACAATCTGTTCTGAAAGACACTTGCATTGTCTAAATGTAGCATTGATCAGTTAGTCATCACAGGAAAGACGGGGTTCTTCCCTAGCAAGCCTTCTGCCTAATTTTAGTTCCTTGTCCCCTTCCCCCTCCCCCTTGTTTTTTGTTTTGTATTTGGGGTTCAGTCCTATTTTCTTAGTGTTATTGCACACAGTATTCAGCTTCTCTTCAGAAAGGTAGCAGGTCTAACGCTGGGACTTGGACAGGGCACAAGAGTCCCGCAGTCGTGTGACCAAAGTTCCTGATGGAGCTGTCTTTGGGCAGCATTTGCACCGCTTTTGTATAGCAATAAAGCCTTATCAGAAACATTTCATAGGAGGAAAAGATGCAAACACTTTAAACGGGATGAGGCAGGGAGGGATTTTATTTTACATTTTGGGGGGAGCGGGGTGGG